TTTTTCGTCGCGCTGTGATGACGTCACAGCGCGCTTTTGTCGAGCGCGATTTTGTCCTACGTGCTTTTGTGGTGGAACCAGTTTACAGTATATGGTAACTCATTTACTTCCATGTAGACCTAAAGAATACTCATAGTCAATAAACCTTTTATCGCCATGTAAACTTCCAATCCTTAATTAATGTTTGAAAGTTAATTAGTTGTACCCCTGATTTAATCAACGCTTATAATTAAGAGTCTGTGATTGCTGATCTATTTAGTGTTAAGGGTTAAACAGTTGGTCTTACTGATCCAATCATATGGTTAATCATTACTTCTGTTCTATACGGGTTTCAGCATAGCTAACGTATGCCTGCACGTATATCGCAACACCCGTCTACCCAGCTGATCATCAGGGCAGAGAACCGGTTGTTAAATTATTTGAATCCCACCACTGGTTGAGAACCATTGGGCTAGAAGAAATGGAGGGGGGGGGGTAGCAAAGCGAAAGAGAATAGAAGATCAACAAATCAAAAAATAATAATTGCAAAACCGGAAAATGAATTTTAAAAAAAGAGACATACAAAAGAGACTGTAGCAAATAAGTAATAGGGAATGGATATAAGACCATCCAAATGTATTTAAAAGTTGCTATCTATAGAATGGAGAGAAAAGAAAGGCGAAATAAAATATGTATATTTATATAGTTAGAGTTATAGAAGATTTACATGTACAGAGAAAAGAATCACAACAGATACGTGTTGCAAGGATGTTATGTTTGCATAAACAAAATAAAAAGTTAGAAACAACAACAACACTTTTACCATCTTGGTGCCTCCCTTTCTGCTTAGAAGGCTATTGAGGGCGAGGGGGGGGGCAGGTGGCAATCCCCAGAGGTGGCTTGGAGACCCCTCCAGCTGCTCTCCAGAGGTTTCGGCTGGGCACAGGGTTGAACCTTGCCAGCCGAAGCTAGACTAGTGCGCCACGGCTAAAACTGGCTCAGCCTTTGCGTTTCCTTGCGGGCATCTGGGCCTCGCTTGCCCACCGGGCGAAGGCTGCGCGGTTGGCATGGGGCACGAAAGGGATCTTGCTCCTACGGGTGCGCATGCCGCCATCTCGGCTGCCAGGGGTGTATTTTGGGCACCTTCGAAAAGCGATACCTTCTCATTGGCGCGACGGCTCCCGGCTGATGTGTGTGTGTACATTTCCAAATAAATATATTTATGCCCTGTATAAATACAAAATGACTTATGGGTTGGCTCAGTTTCCTGCTGGAAGGGCGGTGGCGGCGTCCGATGAAGTCCTGGATTGTGGGGTCAGCTCCCTCCACCTCACTGGGCAGCCTCAACTGACCCATCAGGAGGGGGGAAGGGGGGGACAGCCACCTTTCCCAGAGTCTGCATTCGGGGGTCTTGTGTCCCAGTATATCTGGGCCTTCCACAGCCTTGGTTCCCTTCCTCTTTGCCCCCATTACCAGGCCCTGCCCACTGCTTGCCTTTGGCCCCTGGGCACTGCCCTTCTCTTGACCACTAGTGGGGGCATTGGGGTGTGTGTTATTTTTTAGTAACTCCAAGGGGCTGGATAGCTGCCCCACCGTTGGTCTGATTCAGCCGGAGTCTTCTTCCTTCTGGAAAAGCCCATCACCTCTTATTTACGCCCCCTCCCCGCTTCGTTTCCTCCCTTTGAAAGTGAGTGTATGTATGTGCGGGGGGGGGGGGAGAAGGATCATTGGAGCTTGCCAAGGAGCCACCGCCGCCCCCCCCCCCCGTCACAGCCTGTGGAAAGTGATAACACCATCCTCCTCCCCATGGAAAGAGTGACTGGTCAGTGTGGGAACCGGCCGTGGGGAGGAAGGGGCTCAGGGGAAGGGAGGGGGGAACGCCCGGCTGCTGTTTCGGCCTGCAGCCTCAGGGCCTGGGTGGGGAAGGGGGCCGGGAACCAGGATGGAGGCATTTCCAATGGGGGTTGGGGGGATTTAAAACACACACACACACACACCTCCTTTTCTGTTTGTCTTTGCAACCTTTGGAGTTCTCCCATCCCTGGAAGCGAAGGGGTCTATTTTGAAGGCCAACCCTACTGTTTGGACTCAAAGGCACAGACGGGAATCCGACTTTTGGGAGGCAGATAATTAGAGGGAAGACTTGCAAAGGGCAACTCTTTCTTTCTTTCTTTCTTTCTTTCTTTNTTTTCCTGGAGGACTTCAACTCCCAGAATTCCCCAGCCAGCTTTGTCTGGAGGACTTCAACTCCCAGAATTCCCTAGTCAGCTTTGCTTGCTGGGGAATTCTGGGAGTTGAAGTCCACCAGGCTTAAGGTTGCCAAGGTTGGAGACCCCTGATGTAGACAGTGACACAGTTTAGTTGCTGAAAATACTAATGCAATGTTAGGCTGTATTGACGGAAGTATGGACTTCAACACCCAGAATTCCCTAACCATAATATCCTTTAAGTTAGGTGGACTTCAACTCCCAGAATTCCATGCTGGCTGGGAAATTCTGGGAGTTGAAGTCCATCAGGTTTAAAGTTGCCACAGTTGAGTGACCCTGTTCTGTATTACAGATCTTTGTTCACATAATATCGTGCAAATATGTTTAGAATAAAAGCTGTGCTTTTGGTTCTTTGCATATCCTGGCCAACCCATAGCTGTGCTGACTTGTACTGTCTTTTATCATTAGAAGAAATCTTGCATGTAACACAGTTGTGTTAATTTCGATAAGCCCTTCCTAAAGTTTCCGAGGTTGAAAGTCACTGATATAGATAATAACTTGCCAATTAGCGTGAGCCCATATCTTATCTTCAGATTAAGAAGCACACACAATGCACACTTAATTATGGCATATAAATAGAACTCAAGAGTATGTAAAGCGGATGACGTTAGAAAAATCCCACCTGATTGGAGCTTTCAAAAAGCTACCCAAACCTTAGTTGACATTCTTTGATCTGATTTTCTGGGACAATTTGTACAGGAAACCCACAGGCAGAATTGTTTAGAGAAAATTTTTTAAAGTTCCCCTAATATACTGCCTTTTAGCTCGGGTAACTTCAAAATATCTGCATTTAAACCTGGGGTGGGCTTCAAAAAATTTAGCCAGGGGTTCTCTGCCCAGTTGTTGGGTGGGCGTGGCCTAGTCCTGCACCATGGGGGGTGGTGTTTTTGCCCTCCCAGGGCTCCAGAAGCTTTTTCTGAGCCTCCGGGAGGGCGAAAATTGCTTCCCCAGGCTTCGGGAGACCCGAAATGGGCCCATTTCCGGCTTCCCCAAACTTCCGGTAGGCCCGTTTCTTTGCCCTCCCCGAGTCTCCGGGCAGTTGCCTGTATCCAAAACGGGCCATGTGGTGACTCCTGGGAGGGGAGGGCAAGGGTGGGCAGGGCCAGCCAGGAGTGGGATTTGGGGGTTCTCCAAACTGCACAGAATCTTAACTAGAGGTTCTCCTGAACCCCTGCGGACCACCAGCAGCCCACCCCTGATTTAAACCCTCAGAATTTTGGCTGGGGAATTCTGGGAATGGAAACCCAACCATCTTAAAGTGACCATTATTGAGAAACACTGCTCTAATGTGCGGGCGGTCCTTGACTTACGACCACAATTGAGCCTAACATTCCGGTCGCTAAGCTTGTTACGCCAGCTTTGCCCCGTTTTATTTATCTTTCTTGCCACCGTTGCAAAGTCCGTCAGTGCCGTCGTTAAATTAATAACGCCGTTGTTAAGTGGATCTGGCTTCCCCGTTGTCTTTGCTTGTCCGAAGGCCGCAAAAGCGGATCACGGAGTGACTCCCCCGGACCGTCGTGGCGACCGTCATAAATAAACCCGGTTGCCAAGCGCCTGAATTTTAATCCCATGTCCACGGTCGTAAGTCGTACACTTGCATTGGTCGCAAGTGTGAAAAACGGCCGTAAGGCACTTTTTTTCTGTGCCGTTTTAACTTTGTGGGGCGTAAGTCGAGGACTACCTGTATGGCCACAGTCCAGTCCCTTCAGCACAGTTCTGCCTCTCGTTTTGATTGTGTTTTTGTGTTAGCTGTCACTCAAACCAATCCTCTTTCTCCCTTTGACAAACCAGTTGATTTATTTAAAGCAGGGGTGTCCAAACTTGGGAACGTTAAGACTTGTGGACTTCAACTCCCAGAATTCCCCAGCCAGCATTCGCGAATGCTGGCTGGGGAGTTCTGGGAGTTGAAGTCCACAAGTCTTAACTTTCCCAAGTTTGGACACTCCTGCTTTAAAGCCATGGCCTCTGGAACAGCCAATCCTAAACCTTTCTTGCCTTCATCCCTGCCTCAGTTTCCATCTTTCTGTCCTGAAAATAAATCTGCATCATGAAAGTGATTTTTTGGGGGGTGTTTCTGTGCCAGTCTCTACAAAGATTGGCGAAAGGAGGCTGAAATAGACACGCAATTTTATTGGGTGAATATCGAATGCTCTTTGAGGGCCTTTATCCTCCTTTGACTGACGATGTCTTGTTTTCTTGCAAAGAAACGTAGCAAAGACATTTCTGGTTCTAGCAGAATGTGTTTCCCAAGGAGAAATCAATTCAAGAAGCGTAGCTCTTTTGCAGCTCAGTCTTTACTATGAGGTACACAGTGACGCAGTCCTGCTACTCAAATTGCGAATGCAACGTTTGGCTGCATTGACGGAACCATCAAGTTATCACAGCTGCTCTCCGGGATCCTGCAAACGTCCTGCGTGTGATTTAGGGCACCAATGCAAGCAAGGGGATTGTGAAAGTCTGTGTACCTGGGGGAAGATAAGAGTCAGGGGGTCCTTTGCGTTACATCCACACGATATACGTAACCTGGCTCCTGATTTCATCCATAACGAGGGCTTGCACAGTGCCCTAAACCATAAGCTAACCCAGTGTTTCTCAACCTTGGCAACTTGAAGATGTCCGGACTTCAACTCCCAGAATTCCCCAGCCAGCGAATGCTGGCTGGGGAATTCTGGGAGTTGAAGTCCGGACATCTTCAAGTTGCCAAGGTTGAGAAACACTGAGCTAACCAAACAGCTGGGGACTTGAACAACAGACTAGGGAAAGCCCCCACTTCCATGTAGGCCTCGCCTTACAAGCACAGTTCAGATCAGAGTTTCAGTTGCTAAGCAAGGCAGTTCTTAAGGGAGTCCCACACCATGTTACGACCTTTTATGCCAGAGTTGTTAAGCGAATCGCTGCTGTTAAGTGAGTGGCATTCTTGCTTTTATAAACAGAGGCATAGAGTCAACATCAGGGGAAGTATTAGTACCGCTTTATAAATCCTTAGGGGACGCAGTGGCTCAGTGGCTAAGACGCTGAGATTGTTGATCAGAAAGGTCGGCAATTCGGTGGTTCGAATCCCTAGTGCCACGTAATGGAGTGAGCTCCCGTTACTTGTCCCAGCTTCTGCCAACCTAGCAGTTCGAAAGCAGGTAAAAACGCAAGTACAAAAAGAGGAACCACCTTTGGTGGGAAGGTCACAGCGTTCTGTGCGCCTTTGGTGTTTAGTCATGCCGGCCACGTGACCATGGAGACATCCTCGGACAGTGCTGGCTCTTCGGCTTTGAAACGGAGATGAGCACCCCACCCCCTAGAGCCGGGAACGACCAGGACATATGTGTGAGGGGAAACTTATAAGTCCTTAGTAAGGCCACTCTTGAAATACTTGCATCCAGTTTTGATCACCACGTTACAAAAAAGATGTTGAGACTTTGGAAAACCCGCAAAGAAGAGCAACTAAAATGATTAAAGGCCTGGAGACTAAAACATAGGAAGAACGGTTGCAGGATTTGGCTACGGCTAATCTAGAGAAAAGAAGGACTAAGGGGGGACATGATAGCAGTCTTCCAGTATTTGAGGGGCTGCCGCAAAAAGAAGAAGAAGGGGTCAACTTATTTCCCCAAGCACCAGAAGGCAAGACAAGAAACAATGGATGGAAAATAATGAAGGAGAGAAGCCACCTGAAATTAAGGAGAAACTTCCTAACAGTGAGCACAATTAATCAGTGGAACAACTTGCCTTCAGAAGTTATGGGTGCACTGGGGGAGAGCCGAGGTGGCGCAGTGGTTAGGGTGCAGTACTGCAGGCCACTTCAGCTGACTGTTATCTGCAGTTCAGCGGTTCAAATCTCACCGGCTCAAAGGTTGACTCAGCCTTCCATCCTTCCGAGGTGGGTGAAATGAGGACCCAGACTGTGGGGGCGATATGCTGACTCTGTAAACCGCTTAGAGAGGGCTGAAAGCCCTATGAAGCGGTATATAAGTCTAACTGCTATTGCTAACTGCTATTTGAAGAAGAGAGTGGACAATCATTTGTCTGAAGTGGTATAGTTTCTCCTGCTCTACCAGGGGGTTAGACTAGAAGACCCCCCAAGTTCCCTTCCAGCTCTATTCTGTCGGATTGAGTTAAGCAAATCCAGCTTCTCCGTCGACTTTGCTTGTTGCAAGCCAGCTGGGAAGGTTGTTTTGCAATGCAAAAGTGTCCGACGGTAGTGATGGAAGGTTTTTTTGTCTGATAGGCCGGCTCTTGCCACACAACAGCACGTTTGACGTGCTGGCATGGTAAAAAAATTACCTTGTGGTGGCTTCACCACATCCAACGCAATGCGAATGGGGTCCCCCTTTAAATTAAAGGCAGCAGGAGTCTTTGGTCCCCCAATTGAGCCCCAGGTTTCTAAGCGAGACCTTGGTGAAGTGAATGTTGCCCCATTTTACATCCTCTCTTGCCCCAGTTGTGAAGTGAAACGTTGCGCTTGTTAAGTTAGCCGCACAGTTGCTGAGTGGGTCTGGCTTCCCCACTGGTTTTGGGTCGTAAAGGAAGATCCCTTAGCCCCAGGAACCCACAAGCGCCATAAGGATGAGCCAGTTGTCCAGGGTCTGAATTTTGATGCTTTTTTCAGTGCCTTTGTTGTGTCTTCAAACGGTCCATATGTAATGAAGTTGTAAGCAGGACTTCCTGTAGTTCTCTCGCCGCTCCTGATTCTCCTCATTTGACTGCAGTCTCTGCTCGTTTGTCACCAATCCGGTCAGCTGGGCCTCCCTTCCTTCCACTGCCAGTCAACCCCTGTGTCCCTTTCCCCACATATGTGGCTGTGGCTGTGGTTGTGGTTGTATAAATATCTCTCCTCTCCTTGTTTCTCTTGCAGGAAGAATTTGATCCAGTTAGCGAGATGACGCCAAGTGAGGTAAGGTTTCTGGTAGTCTCCCATCTTGACTGAGATGCTCCAACTTTGAATGGAGAAGCATTCCTGCCATCTCCTTCTCCCCCTTCTCCTCCTCCTTTTCTTCTTCTTTCTTTTCTTCTTCTTCCTCCTCCTCCTTCTTCCTCCTCCTTTTTCTTCTTCTTCCTCCTCCTCCCTCTTTTTCTTCTTCCTTTTTTTCTTCTTTTTCTTTCTTCTTTTTCTTCTTCTCCTTCTCCTTTTCTTCTTCTTCTTCATCCTCTTCCTTCTCCCCTCCTCCTCCTCCTTTTCTTCTTCTTTCTTTTCTTCTTCTTCCTCCTCCTCCTTCTTCCTCCTCCTTTTTCTTCTTCTTCCTCCTCCTCCCTCTTTTTCTTCTTCCTCCTCCTTTTTTCTTTTTCTTCTTCTTTTTCTTCTTCTCCTTCTCCTTTTCTTCTTCTTCTTCATCCTCTTCCTTCTCCCCTCCTCCTCCTCCTTTTCTTCTTCTTTCTTTTCTTCTTCTTCCTCCTCCTCCTTCTTCCTCCTCCTTTTTCTTCTTCTTCCTCCTCCTCCCTCTCTTTCTTCTTCCTTTTTTTCTTCTTTTTCTTTCTTCTTTTTCTTCCTCCTTTTTCTTTTTCTTCTTTTACTTCTTCTTCCTCCTCCTTCTTCTTTTTCTTCTTCTCCTTCTCCTTTTCTTCTTCTTCTTCATCCTCTTCCTTCTCCCCTCCTCCTCCTCCTTTTCTTCTTCTTTCTTTTCTTCTTCTTCCTCCTCCTCCTTCTTCCTCCTCCTCCTCCTCCTTTTTCTTCTTCCTCCTCCTCCTTTTTCTTCTTCCTCCTCCTCCTTTTTCTTCTTCCTCCTCCTCCTTTTT